TTTTATAAGCCGGGGGGGGGAAAGCTGTATGATTTACCCCCTCTGCATCCAGATAACCTGAATAAACAGCAGAGGTCCAAAGGGGATATGCCACCTCCGCTGTCCCTGCTTTGCAGAAGAGGCAAGAACGTGGAACACACCTCCATCCCCATCAGCAACAGGGGCCTAATTAATATTTCTAATCAAGTAGCATGCAAACGCGAAGCATCATTAAATCCACAGGCCAAACCTACAGGGATTTCTGCCACCCCCAGCAATTCTAAAGCAAGACACGAACACGCTCATACAAAACTCCTGTTAAGGGCTTGCATCCTCTTATTTTCACACCGTTTATTCTCAATATGGCAAAGATTAAGCACTCGCAGAGAAACCTGACATCTGTCAGGATTATTCACCTCCAGCACAGTACGTGCGCTGCCGATGACATTTAACCATGCTGTTCTCGTTCGCCTTCAGGAACCTGAGCTGTTCCTGCGGGATCCCGACTGCGAATCCCAATGCTCCCACCACCGCACGTGGCTCCCCGCAGGATGATCTCCTCCTAACCCCTTCCCATCTCATCTCACTGGTTAAGAAGACAGTGAAGTCCGAGCGGGCATAGGGGTGGCATTACCAAGCTAATATTATTTAAGTGCGAGGAAAGCCCAGGGGTTTCACTGGTCACGACACCGAGCTGCCATACGGCACCTTTGGGGGCTCATGGACAGTGATCACAAAAGGGGCTTCGAGCAAAACCCTGACTCCTGGCCTGCCTGGAGCATCACAGGATGAGATGGAGAGGCCAAGAGAGTCAAAGCTCACTTACCTGGTACTTCGATTGTCAGAGATTTTTCCCGGGTTTGCAGCCTGTACACCAGCATGTAAGCATTGCGCGAGCAGTGAGTCCCTTTCCCGCACTTAGGTTTACGAGTCTGGGATTTAGAAGGCTCCGCTGTGGTACAGAAGGCAAAACATAATAAACAGACAAGCTCGCTTGCTGATTCTCCATAACGGGACAAGTTTGCCACCTAGCCGGCAGCCCTCTCCCCGCTGTGCTTTACCAGGCCTCTCTGTGCCAAGCACTGGGCTTGGCACGAGTCAAAACTGTATCCCAAAGAAAGACTGAAATCCCTCCAGCATTTCTGGAGGCAGTGTAATTCAAAGGGACCAAAATTAGGAGCCTGTTCTGAACCGCCCTTCTACGAGAGCCAGTTAAACCTCACTGAGCCAAAAGTAGCTCTTGCAAAAGACATCCTCTCTCCC